AATTTTTTTTTTCAAAAAAAAGTATTTTTTGTCCAATTTATAGTTTCTCAAAAATCTTATTTTTTCGAAGTAATTTTTTTTTAAAAATGTCAATCGTTTTTAAAAAAATAATAATTTTTGGTACGGGAAGTTCCAGCAATTTGCTTTAAGGCACGATGCCTTAATTGCCTTAAGACAGAATCCCACTTACAGCTAGTTTTTTCTTTATTTTGACATATTGTGGAAGATCTGAACTTTTTTTTCAAAGCAATCGTACTGCTTTAACTGCATAGGGACAAAATATAAAGCGCGTAAGCGCCGCGTCGCTGTCTAACGCATAAGCATTGGTACGGAACCCATAGGAATGTTAACAAAATGTATACTTATTGTTAAAATCTCTATAAAATATCTGATAATTTGATGTGCATATGTCTAATGATCATTTTTGACCGCCAAATGGCTCATTTTTTTACTTTTTCCTCCATATCTCCGAAACCGCTAGACCTACCTTCATGAAAATTTTATCGATTTTTCATCTTGTCAATACAAGTGAAACGTTGTTTGAATTATTCAAATCGGACGCTCCGTTCTCTTAAAAACTGAGTTACCGTTTTCGGCACTTTTTGCCCCGTATCTTCGGAACGGCTAGACCTGTCTTCGCCAAAAACTAATCAGCACGTCTCCTTATCAATACGAATCGAATGTTTTTTAAATTATTCAAATCGGTTGATCCGTGTTCCCGAAATCGTCGACGAAAATTTGTATCCGCACATACATACACACACGTACATACATACATACATACACACACACATACACACACACACACACACATACATCCATTTTTTCTAAGGTATGCCAAAATGTTCAGAAACCTCTGAAACGTAAAGATATATAAAAATTTTCATTTTCGATTTTTTTGCGATTACTATAACTTACCCTACGGGAAGTTAAAAATAATAGATTTCTTTAATAATAAGATAAAATATTTATTTATTTATTCATTTGAATATATTCAATTATTTCATTCATTTGAATTATTCAATTTGAAAAAATCAGAATGTATTAGAACTATAATAGAGGAGACTGGGTACGCTTGTGCTTGTGATTTGTTTTCACTTTCGCTTTTCTATTGTCTTTTACTTAAGTTAATTCTCCTTTATCAATTTAATCTTCACCCGAAAAGGTCAAGAAATACATGTCACAACCGTACCAAACGCACATTTTTGAAAACAAATAATCGTTATGACTGATCTAAATTATCTACGCAAAAACTAATTGCTGGTAATTAACAACTAATGTTCAATATAACAAATTGTCTGTATACAAGCAATAGCTATTATTAAAAAAAATTGAACAAAAATTCTTGCTTTTGACTATTTAAAAGCAATGCGATCCATAGATCATGTTAACGTAGGGCGCTAATTCAAGACAATAATGGAAACTTATTCAAACAAACATACTTCATCTTTCTCGCATTAAACCCTATCTCAACATCAGTATAGTTCAGCGGTTATGATGAATATCACTACCGTACTCTGGCACAACCGTACCCACTGTATATTTTTTGAATTCAATTTCTTTATAAAATCACTGGTATACTTTATATTATATGTAAGAATTTAAAAAAAAATTTAACACGTTTAATGTCAAGTCAGAATCCCAGGTAAAAAATTAGTTTTTTATTTATTTAAATATAATAAAAAAATTATATATTAATGTAGCATAATAAATATTAATATAATAAAAATAAATATATGAAATAAAAAATTAACATACATAAGAAATATAATTACTAATATTTGTGATATCATTAGAATATTTATAGTCAAACTTGTTCATACAAACGTCTATATATCTCTCACGGAATATTCTACATTTAATTCAATACATATAATTATTGTGACGCTAACAAAGTTGAACGCATTTATGACAAACTTTCCATGTTACTCATCATACTAATTAAATGAATAATTCGCACATAGTAAAGATAGACGAGATTAAATTATAATGATAAATATACAATTATAATGAATAGTTTCGAATATATGTTGTTTTATGAATGTAGTTTTGTATAAAAAATAACAATGATATTTTATATAAATAAATATTAAACTAAACAATTTCAATTGAATATTTTGAATCAATTGACCCTTGAATTATATGTAATACACTTTTTAACTTGTTAATCATTTCTGTTTATGATTCATTAAAACTTCAATAATATTATATTTAGGTAGAAAATGATATCACCGCTGCTATGTGTCACAATTATTCTATGATATTTCGAATCGCAAACCCACTGATATACTGACACGGAAAATATGGAAAATGAAACTAATAAAATATTTATGAAAGCTCATACTAATACTGTACCGTTTATACTTTTATATATAGAAATGCTACTTTAATTCATTAAAATAATTCGATTTCATTTGCACCAATTTTTATTAAATCCTCTAACTACATTTTCTTAAATTATGTTACATTTATTTCTCTATGAAGAATCCATGCTGATACTTAAAATCAACCTCTATTATAATTTTACCGAGGAAGCTCATTTAACATTCTAACAAGTTGTAAGTTATGAATCTTTTACGAAGCTAGTCACGGAGAAAATGTCAATTCCTACAAAATTACTTTACTATATTACACTTGAAGCTGTAAAAGTAAAATAAGATCATTTCAATGGAAATACGTTTGATCGGTAATATAAATTTTCTAACAGAATTGTAGAAATATTCGACGTTGAAAAAAATTTGAAACTGCTGTCTAAAATTCATAAATTTTCTTATATAGTTTTGGCCCAGTTTTATTAAAATCTGTTACATAAAAATTCTCGAAAATTTATACCCCTTTCTCACCACTCTTGATATTTCGCTATGTGAGGGTTGTAAGTTTGAATATTTATTAAAAAAAAACTAGCATAGTGTAAGAACTGCATAATAATAAGAACTTCATTTCGGTACGGGTTTCCACATTGAGATTAATGAATAAGTGATTCGTATGAGATTTCATCTTATTATAATAAATATAACAAAGTAATAACTTACTTCATGAATATTTTATTCATTAAAAAAAACTATTGTTCAAAGTTGGAGAAAAGACTGGGTACGGTTGTGCCAGGGTACGGTATTGATAGTTGTCATAACAGCTAAACTATAACTGATTTTAAGATAGTGTCCAAAGGAAGATATATAAAATATGTTTGTTTGAAGCCCTACATTAACAATTTAACATGATCTGTAGAACATCATTGTTTTTAAAATGCCAAAAGTAAGTTTTCATTTCTTTTAATAAAAACTGTTACAGTTTTGTTTGTTATTTTGCTATAAGTTGGGCATAGGTATTTGATTACCAGCAATTAGTTTTTGTATAAATAATTCAAGCTAGTTATAACGATGACTTGTCTTCAAAAAGGTTAAACAGATGAAGAAAAATATAATTTAACTAAAAAAAAATAATGAAGACACAGGGAAAGAAAAAAACATGATTTTACAACCGGCATTATCATCTGATCAATTCATTTCTTGTTAACTTTATTAACTTATTTAAAAAAAAAGTTTTGTTATATATTGTTATATTCTATTCATAACCTTTGTTTAAATAATTATATTGTGTTGCGGTACATATTTCTGACAATAAAAGCCGTTATAAACCATTTTGGCATTTGAATTATAATCATTGTTAACAATTCCGGAAGAAAATAATTAGAATAATTAAGAGCAATTTCTTCATTGACAAATAGTCGATAGAGTATAATTTTCTGCTAATAAAAAAGATTTGAATATTAACTACATAGATCATCTTTCAAAACATCACATCGTCTTTAACACTAAACCTTCCAAAGCGGTCAAATGACCGCTTTTCAAACTTTAATCGGAATTATTAAATTCCCGGTTTTTATATTTCTTTAATTCAAGGCTCTATAATATAAGACCATTTAATTTTCCGGTATCAATTATTCATTATGTTTTATATCTCCAAATATACACATATACTATACCTATTCCTACCGGTGGCGGTCAAATAACCGCTTTTCAGATTTTCATTGCTAGTTGATTATTAGAAAAGGTTTATTTATAAAAATAACATAAGATTTTTGAACACTATACCATTTTATTAAAATAGTTACATGTATTGCAATGAAACCTTCTGAAGTTATTCCCAAACTCGCTGCTCCATTTACAGGATGCGGTAGAAATATAACCACAGATAACTATTTTACAAGCTTATCTTTGACAACAAAACTTTTATCAAAGAGAACTACCCTATATTGTTTTATGTATAGTGTTCAAAAACCTTTTTTATAAATAAACAATAAACATTTTCTAATAATCAACTAGCAATGAAAATTTGAAAAGCGGTCATTTGACCGCCATTGGTAGGAATAGGTATACATAAAATGTTGGTAGGTTTAATGTTAAAAACATAGTAGAGTAAAAGTTTTTCTATGCATACCATCTAGAAAACGAGCAGAACTCAAGATATTTTCATTTACAATTTTTTTACAAGGATATGCAACTTGAATTATAGTGCTTGTAATTAAAAAAATATTTAATTTCAATAATTAGTAGTTACTTGGAAAAAGATATCTCATGTAGAAAATATTTATGAAGAAAAAAATAAAATATTTTTTAAGGAATAATGAAGGCTATTAGTTCAGAATACACATTAGGTCAGTTGGATTTAAAGGTCACTTAGGCAAATATGATATTCGGATTCTAGTATCCTAATATCACATGTGCCTATCTAAGCGACTTTTTTTGATCCATACAAATTGACCTGCTCTTATATATATATATATATATATATATATATATTATATTTTATCGTCCAGATTTAAAATGCAAAAGCATTTTCAGTTCGAACGAGAAAAATTACATGTATTATAGTGCATGAGACTCGTTGTTTTTTGTCATAAACCATAAAACGCAGTTACCCAGTAATGGAGTTCTAGTAAAGCAAAGCCGTTTATACAGAAAGTGATGTAGGAAATTTCAAGATAGTTTTCGACTTACCAAAACTATTTCTACCGCACCGACGATGTACATGGCGGCCGCCAGCGTAGTTCCGGTGTAGAACAGCATGCCAACAGCACCGCCGAACTCAGGTCCGAGCGATCTGCGGAGATTTAACCCATAAATCCAAATTCATATTTAGAGAGTTAATACAAAATAAGGTCAGTACTCTTAAGTATTCGAAAATATATTTAAGCAATTGCAGAAACATCCATAGAAGTCAATAATGCAATTTAAATTATTTTTGAAGTCAAACTTCTTTAGGCACGACTAGGGTGTAAATCCGTACAAATGCACGGAAATGCGTTACGACAGAACTGTACGTCATTCGCTCTCGATGAAATCACTTCAATACGGGTCGATTGTGATTAGTTGTTGTGTATGTGAATAGAGATCTGTCGTTGTATTGTATCGGCATCAACATTGTATGCGTACCGATGTCAACAAGGAAATCGGCATAGATAAATAAATAATTTAAAGTTACATCGTAGTACAAAGCGATCAGAAGAATATTTTAGACTGTTCCTTGAAAATAATAAAACAAATTAAATATTTGTGCCGTGAACTGAACGTAAGTTTATTGATTAGAAATTATTTCTATATTATTTGTAGTTTCTATAAATCTTTGAAGTTATTGAAATGGAAAAAAAAATTAGACAAGGCAGAAATTATAGCTATTCAAAGAATGAGATTATATCGCCACCGAAAAAGTAAAAAAGCAGTCAATAAATGTATGTTAATTTTAATTACACGAAGTTCATCAAATACAATTACATGATGAGTGAAGTTGCGAAAACAATATTTGTTTAGGCGTTGTTTAACATAATCCACTGTGTGAACGAATATTATAGAATTTTTTATTCAGCAATTACTTTATTTCTCTAATGAAGGTTCAATTCTAAATGCTAATTACAATGACATCCCTATCATGTCATATTTGAAGTATGACTTTAATTACATTATTGTTTTTGAATATTATACATATTTTTAATGCACTCGTTTTTTAAAGTTAAATGTCACATGAAAAAATGAGATATATCAATATTAATCAGGCGCAAGTAGATCCCGTATTGTAAACTATTGCCATATAGGTCAGATTCGATTTAGTAAAGTTTGACATGAATTGGATAATTCCAATACAAGTATTTAAATATAAATCCGATAACTATCATCTATTATTTACTCCAACCAAGCATGATAAAAATAACCATAGGTCGCATAAAAAGTTGTTAAATCTCTGTATTTATGTATCGATATCTCACTTTCTAAAAATAAGTACTACGTTGACATTTGTAAAAAATAGAAAAATACTATAATGTACAGGTAACCCCGTATAACACGGTAGTTTCGTTCCAAAAAACTAGCGTTTCATGCAAATCCGTGTTATATGGGACAAAGAACTAGTACAAAAAGAGTGGTAACGTTCCAAGAATTCAAAAAAATGCTACATATCATGATTATATAATAAATATTGTTAAATTTATTAATTTTTTTAAGATGTAATATACATTTTATTAATTATATGATTTTTCTTTTGATATTTTTTTTGCAGAATGATATTTATATATTTAACACATGCAAAGTTATATTTCTTAAACTTTTATCATCTTTTTGTTTAAAGGATCTTTGTTTAAGAAATATGAAATATATTGTTCGTATAACTCTAGGATATTTCATCGAAGGAATAATAAATATCTATCTACTGATCTTTTGCACTAGTTTCATCACATTTATTGAGCGATGGTACGGCAATTTTACTAAATTCAGATTAGATGAAGTTTGTCTTTCATAGATTTTACTATATTCCTTATTTTAGTAGAGTTTTGCTCAATTCTCAAACCGTGTTATATGCCTCAAAAGTACCGTGTTATGAGGGGTATGGTCTCAATTCTTAAACCGTGTTAGAGCGAGTCCGTGTTATAGAAGTACCGTGTTATGCGAGGATTACCTGTATCTACTAATTGTGAAGATGATTACCAAAAAACTAAAATTTTAATTAAAAGAAGAACATCATAACGTGTGTCTAGGATTACATTTTTAGTTAACAAATTATGGTTGTTTCTACTAACTAGAACGTTGGAGATTTTTTCGGTAACTCTTGTTTGAATATATAAAGAAATTTTTGATTCAACACTTTTTGATATGATATATGTATTTAAAAAGTCATACTCAAATTTAATTTTTCAATTTCAAATATGTTGTACTATTTTTACTGTCTATATCAACGTAAATTAACAATTTTATGCATCGTTTTAATGAGAAAATAAACAAAATATTTCCTATTGTAAAAGTATCTTAAGAACTGACTTAATATCGGCTCTATGTAATCCAGTGTATGTCGTTTACATATATAAAACTCCATAGAATATAAAATTTATAGAATATCAATTGATAATTAAGTATAATTTAGAATAATTTAGTAGCTTTCGAAACACGAAAAGGTCATAATTATGTCATGAAGTAAAATATTTTATATTTTTTTATGAAAACAAATTTGAGGTGTTCGCTTCAGCTTTTACATACATATTTTTATGATCAAATCTCTGATCAACAAAACCGTCACGTTCATTCAAACAATTCATTACAAAGTGATAATAAAAACCCTTTTCAATCGCAAATTTGGATCGTTAAGGGCCATCACGTATCGGTTTTAATGAAAGCTAATATAAGTACGTATTCAAAACTGCAATATTCGACACTAACGACGTCGTGATTCAAATAGTTTCGTATCTAAAACGCTTTTACTGATAGTACTGAGTATTAGACACACTAAACCAACTATTATATACCACCGGGTTATACCATTATATTATAGAAATTTGTATGCATACCAATCAATCAAACTTGCGTAATTAACAATTCTACATTGAATCTCATAAATGTTAAACATCCTGAAGGCTCTGGTACATTATCACTGAATATGTGCAGAGAAACATCTACTAGTGAACGAGAGTTTCACTTTCGACAAGTAACATTTTTGATATATATATTTTGGTATACGCCAATGTGATATAAAATAATCTGAATTAATATCAACGGTACTAACAGTCAATTCAACCAGCAAATTATAATTAAATATTTGTAGTAAATGGATATAGAGACTTGTTAATAATGATTATATTGAAAGTAGATCTAACATAATTTAGATAAAGGATATTTGAACAATTATACTTGCTTCTTAATCTTTTCGTTGATTATTTTTAAACAAGCTTTGTCGGTGGAAAGTTACTAATTTATCCTAAATTATACTTAATTATCAAGTGAAAGTGATATTCTATAAATTAAAAAATAATCAATTATCAATTCTAATTTCTATGAAAAATGTATGAGGTAGTAATAATATTTCATCAATATTATAATATTTTGAAAAATGCCGACAGTATTAATAAAATTAGAAATATTTAACTACTGATCTAATAATTTAGATATGCAAAAATGCTTTGAATTATATAAAAAAAAGATTTAGTTGCAGGATTTATGTTCCAGTGAGTTAATTTTCCTTAATAAAATTGACCAATATTCACCTATTGGTAGTGGTTCGCGTAGAAAATAAATGATTAGTGAGTTGTATACAAAAGCCTATATTTCAAAAAACCGGTATTGTAATAGTAATTCTCCCAAAAGCCGGTTTAAACGGTTTGGAATTTTATATAAAAAAGAAATTTATACCTGAATAATCTGTAATTCGAGCAAAAGTTTTTAACAAAAAATCTAGAGTGTTTAAAGCAGTTTGTGACTAAAATTATTTACTGTTCAATTATATGGATACTTTTTTTTATTCAAAATATTAGATCAAAAATATAATAGTTGACTAGGGATAAATAACTTTAAAAAAAAATTATTCGTTGTTAATGCATAATTTTCACATAAAAGTTATGTTGCAAAATATTCGAATGAAAAAAAATAATACAATTTTAAGACAAAAAAAAAACATTTTTCAGATTAAAAAAACAAAAAAAAACATTCGTGTGGTACATATTGATATCTACATATCTAGTTAATTAAGTTAATTTTAGAATTGAAAACGATTAAGCAAAAGACCGAGTATTTTCTATTCCGAGTAATTTTAAAACAAGTTTAAATATTTAATTTAATTAAATGTTTAAAAAAATATAATTTAAAATAATAAACTTATGAAACGTAAGAAATTGTGAAACATAACATATAAAAAACAAGCAATTCAACTAATAAAATACTCAAATCCAATCATAAAATAGACAACACACAACATTTTTTGGAAACATGACGGACCGAGATTCCATATCTTATTGGACCGATATAATTCCAAGAACCAAAACGCTTGCATCCATCTGGAACCATTTGGCTTGTCATTTACGTTTCGTACATTAAAAACCGATTTTTTCAGAAAAAAAAACAGCTATCAAATTTTCCGGTTTCTAAAAGTGGTTATTGAAAACCGATAAACCCTAGTAAATATGCAGCAGTACAGAATTAGAATCACAAATATAAAATAATATGTGACATAACATTTCATAACACACTTAAATTATTCGTAATAAGATCTTTAAGGTCTTTAAAACTTAATATATTAAATTCAAAGATGTTTTACCGTGATATCATGAAGTAACTCCCGCCTGCAGGAACCACCCCGTTTGTTGCAATAGCTGACATAGAAATGGCAGTTAGCATTGTCTGAAATAAAAAAAGAATAAATAAATTTTTAGAATATTTATTAAATTATTACTATATTTAATTTATCATTAATCAATAAATACATAAAAGGGCTATCAATATATATATTTTTTCATGTCGTTGCATACAATTCAATTATTTTATTCATTCAATTGTTAATCATGATTGATAGTGATAAATATTACTTCAAGCTCACTTTTAAATTTAAAGCGCATTTTTGAAAACGATGTACGTAATCTTTTATCGTTATTAAAAGTATACTGTTTTTACTCAATTAGGTAAGAAGTCAATATCAAATATTCAAAGCCTTCAATTAAAATTCAAAGAAATATTTAGAATGTCTGCTTTCAATCACAATTATGAGCTCTAATTGTGAATCTTATAAGTCTTTTCTGATTTTCATTTATTATTATTATTAGCATTGGCACAAATCTAAAAATTTAGTTAGTGAAATCTCTGTAAAAAGTCAGATAATTTAATGTCCATGTACTGAATACTTATTTTTACTCCCTAAATAACGATTTGGAGCACCTTTTCTGCGGTTTATAAAACCTAGAGTTTTGTATCATTAATGTAAAATCTGCTAGCAGATAAAAATTATAATAAACTTGTCTTTTGAAATCGTTTGCAAATCTTAATTATTTTTAAAATTAGTGATATTTTAATAAATATAAAAATGTTACGATATTTACATAAACTCCATTTGTGTTTAATGTTTAATTTCCAAAACATTATTTTTTTTAAAGAATATCTTAAACCATATTTATCTGACATTATAAAAATAGTTTACAGGATTGGCCTCGATGCACACTGCCTTATACTTTTAGTTTTATCTCGTATTGTAAAAAATCATTGTTAATATTCTCGGTATTTATTAAGTTATTTTGTATCCTTCCTATTGCAATACTAAATTAACCATCATTATCTTAACTTAATAAATACCAATATGTAACATATTCGCAAAGTCGAAAATTTTCATAATAAAATCAAATAATTAAAATATACTAATTTACTAATCGAAGATTTGATAGTACATAGGTAGTAAATGCAAAAAATAAGAGTACATTTATATATCAATGTGTGGTATAAACGATAATACATGACACATCCTAAATATTCAACAAATTTAGAATTACAGCCTTTTGAAATATAATTTTAATGTCTCATACAAACATAAAAAATCGATAATATTTCTTGTACATGATGAATGCATATAATAAATGCATAATTATAATTTATGATACTAAATGTATTTTGTTGCACATTACGTCATCTCATCGATTTAATAATTGCTAAAAATTATAGAAAGTAATTAATTAAATGGATTTAAATCAATACATTTTATGTATGTAAATTATGTATTATATTTGCAAATGTATTTTTATATATAGTTATATAAATTATATAAAGAATTTTACGGCGTTGCAGTAATTATGTTGTATTACGCAAAGAAAAATGAGGAATAAAAATGGCAATTAATTCTGCACAGAGATGAAATATGAGAGACGCAGAAAGTTTAACAGAATGTCTTTTTCTTAACGTGAGCCATATTCTTAATTAAAAGAAAAACCGCGAAAATAAATTTATATTTCATGAAAGGTGAATAAAATTTTCCTACTCTGAGAAATGTAATTATATATATATATATATATATATATATATATATACATATAAAGTAGGAAGCAAATTTGTATCATGTTAACATTCTTTGACATATTGCCCAAAACTTTTAGAGTTATATAGCTTAAGAATGTTAAGAAAGTAGCAACAGAAAGATATAAAGTTTCGAGTAACTCTAATATTGAATTTTGTTCAACGAGCTGAAACCTGAGCAAAGTCCTTCAAAGCACGTAAAATATTTCATTTAAATAGTTTAACAGGAATTTCAAATCAATGTTGATATCAATACATATTCTTGAAACAAATTATATACGTAAACTATTTCTGAAATTAAATTGAAACAATATAATTATTCATTTGCTTAAAAAAAAACAACTCTGAATTAGTGGTTTGCGTTATTACAAATACCAATCTTTTATTCTACGTTTTGTTGTAATTACATTTATAATATTGAATAAAAAAATTTAATTAATATCAATTCAATGCTCTCTGGTTTTTTATTTACTACAACTTATTATTTATAGTTTATAATTCGCGATTTACTTCCCGCCATAAATTATTAAATTTATGTTACTATATTTCTATAATAATATTCAAACAGTTACTAGAAGTTTCAACAAAAGTACGTACAAAATGCCAATTTTTACATAATTAAGCAAGGTAATTAATATTAATTATTAATAATTAATTAATTCATATAAGTTTATAAAACTTAATAATAAACCACATAAAATTTTTGAATTGATTTCTTGAATAAAAAATGGAATATAATAATCTAAGGTTAATAATTCAAAAAACATTTTACTTGTATTGCCAAGGTAAATAATTGATCAAATTTTTATAAAGGCAGGTCTAGCGGTTTCGGAGATCTAACAAAAAAAGTAAAAAAAAATGCCATTTGGCGGTCAAAAATGATCATTAGACATATGCACATCAAATTTTCAGATATTTTATAGAGATTTTAACAATAAGTATAAATTTTGTTTATTTTCCTATGGGTTCCGTATCAATGTTTACCCGTTAGACAGCGACGCCGCGCTTACGCGCTTTATATTTTGTCTCTATGCAGTTAAAGCAGTACGATTGCTTTGAAAAACAAGTTCAGATCTTCCAAAATATGTCAAAATGAAGAAAACATTTTTTTTTTCAAAAAAAAAAATTAAAAAAAATTTTTTTTTTTTAAAAAATTAAAAAAAAATTTTTTTTTCAAAAAAAGTAATTTTTCGTCCAATTTACAGTTTCTCAAAAATCTTATTTTTTTGAAGTAAATTTTTTTCAAAAATGTTAATCGTTTTTAAAAAAAATAATATTTTTTGGTACAGGAAGTTCCAGCAATTTGCCTTAAGGCACGATGCCCTAATTGCCTTAAGACAGAATTCCACTTACAGCTAGTTTAATGTTTTGTTTAACAATAAAAGCTCAATTCAGTCCAAACAAATAATGTACGCATGTATAAGTCTAAATTAACGATCATAATAGCAAAGATCAAAATAATTATTATTAAGCGGTTATATGCAAACATTTAATATTTTAAATTTATTGAAAACATTTAAGTTTGTTAAATTTGTTAAATGTATAAAAAAATGTATATGCAAACATTTAGTATTTTAAATTTCTTGAAAACCTTTAAAAATATCAATTATATTAAATTTATAAAAAAAATTGTTTGCCTAAAATTCTAGAAATTCCAATATATTTCAAATAATCTAAAAAAAAAATAGTTATATATATCTTAATAGCAATTTACCATGAGGCATAATGTCACAAATTACTAATTATTTCTAATCAAATAAGACTTATTTAGCAATAAAAAAACATGTGTTGTGCAAGAAAGCCTTTTATGCGGAAACAATATGCGTCAAAGTGCAGTGACCGACGTAAAGTGGAGTATTATGCGAGAAATCGTATCATCATGATTTCTTAATAGGGTTCTACAGTATTTATTATATTTTATACATACCACACAACAGCAGCAAAGTACGATGAGGAAAGCACAAAGGGCGCCAGCAGTGCCCACGACCCAAGTCAAACGAATGAACAATATCACACCAAATATATTCTGTATGCACGGTAGAAACACACCTGAAATACAAATTTACTTTAAAATACAAATAATACTAATATACAAATACAAATAAAATACAATCTGAAATTCTTTGTTACCTTTAGTAGGCTCAACTTAATTCGTGTTTGCCTCACTCAAACTTAAAAACAATGAAAAGCAATCAAATCGAAAGTGGTTGGGCATGATCACAACAATTTACATTTCTTAACTTAACTCTAGCTTAACTGTATTACATTTAGATGCTTGCACTAATTAATTTATTTTAGAGCCAATTGTCGAGATAAAATAATTATGTCACTGATTTGTTAAAAAGCTATGCTCTTTGATCGACACATGCACAATATTAGTATCTAAAGCCTAACCTCAAAATGGCACAAATGTCATATAACTATGTCATCATAAGTTAGATTGTCACTTCTGATAACACGCGTGAAGTAGAACTAAATGAAGGTTGTGTCATTTTAAGGTTAGGTTTTACAAGTTAGACAATTTTTACAAGGTTAGACTATTTTTTGACAGTTGTGACTTCCAACCATAGACCTTACACTACATGGACTGCTAATTGAGCGCCAAATAAGTGTCAGCACATATACTCTTGTTATATCTATGTGTCAAAAGATAGAAGGGACAATGACGTCACTGGGTGAACGAGCGTTGCTGACAATCTTGGAACACTCCCGAATGATTAAATGTCATAGCAGTCCATGTAGTATGATGTTTATGCTACCAACCAGTGGTGTTGTCGAGCCGGAACGCGCCGGAACGTCGTTCCGGCAAATCATTTTTGGGGCGGAACGCGTTCCGGCAAAAAAAGATATAAAAAAATCGCTACATACAGAAAATGATTTAATAAGTATATTTCATAAATTATTATTCAACTAATTTTTATTAAATGTTTTTATTATTGTAATAAACGTCGTTCCAGCAAATCATTTTTGGGGCGGAACGCGTTCCGGCAAGAAAAAATATAAAAAAATCGCTACATACAGAAAATGATTTAATAAGTAAATTTTATACGTTATTATTCAACTAATTTTTATTAAATGTTATTATTGTAATAAACATACATACATGTGCACAAAATGGGTTTTGTAATAATTTTTGTTTCTTTCCTTTTCGAACGGAACCGGAAAAAACATGAAAACTGGTTTTAGAACCGGTTTTTAAATTTTAGCGTTCCGGCAAAAAATATTAGCACAACACCACTGGTTTTATCAAAGTCGTTTTTAATTTAGTAACAAATTGAGGTGTATGAACTGAAATATCAATTACAATACAGTAGTGTATTTCAAATTTCACATATGTTACTTTAAGACCGAAAAGTGTCCGACACCCTAATATTGCGGATATAAGTTGGACTTGTTTCGGACATAGAGGGCGTTGTTGAATAAAATAAATAATTTAAGACATTCATATAATGGAAATTGATTGTAGCGAAAAAAGCAATTCTATAAATACAAAAGCATAAGAACTCTTTTGCTTTTAAATAAATTAAAAAAAATAATATTTTAATAATTCGATGAATTTTTTGCCATCTAAGGCAAAAATATAAGCCGTTCGATCGCTTGTAAATTTTTACAATCCAAGATCTATTGGTAATTTTTTTTAATCATTGTTTTATTCACATTTATTTAGTGGTAAATTAGTTGACAATTTATAGCAGAAGAGTTACCCTGATAGACTTATCGTCTCAATTTCGGCCTACAATTTGAGATTTGTATGCATATTCATAGAAACTTTGATCTTTTGAAAATCTGATGAAGGTTCTGTGGAATTGATGATCACTCGATTATTTTAACCTGGCAGTAGATTAAAAAATTGTACTCCTAGACTAGTAATTCCCAACGTGGGGCGCTCGCCCCACAGAAAAATCCATTTTTAAATTCAGAGGGGGGAGGCAAATTAAAAAATTACACGACTTTAACCCACTTGCTTTGGGTGATTTGAATATAATTTGTAAATACTGTTAAAAAATTGTTAAATATATTATGATCAATGTTTAGTCTAAGTAAGCACAGGATGCATGTGCAAATCATATAATTTTTCCATATATATTTCCATAGCTTAGGTAAATACGGATCCCTTTTTAGGTCTAATGCAAACTTTCTCAATATTACGGATTATAGAAAAATTCCAAATTCTGTATATATTAGTCTGTATATTTATAAATTGCCATACCTCCCAAACAGCGGTATAATAATTTTTATATTATATTTTTAAATTTAGAATTTTCAGAATTCAGTAAGTTGCAAGACTAAGAACACCTTAAGGGGGTATTCTACTGTAGAATCATGAATTTTGGCCGGTTTTTGAAGCGCTGTATAAAGGAAACAAATTATATTTTTACTATCGATTTTTTATGATTTGTTTATTGATATTTTATTATTACATAAAAAAATAATTAAAAAAAAATAGAATTCACAAAGTTATGAACAATCAAAGTGGGGGCTCAAAAAAAAAGAGGGCGTCTGGGGTGCATGGTTCCAACCCTCCTGGTGATCCAAAACATAAAAAATAGATGGATTCTTAATTATTATAGATGCCGCTATCGTATGAACCTTAGATAAGTTAAAAAAAATTTTTTGTTTGAATGGCGACAGTTTGAAAAAAAAAATTTTTTTTTCATGTTTTTTTTAACAATTCCAAATTTTTTAAAAATACTAAATGAAAAGTTATAATTTTGGGAAAGGTCTATGCGATAGAGCGATGTATGGAGAAGATCCTTTCGAAATTTGAAGTAAATCAGTTTATTAGAACTCGAGATATCCTTACCGCCAGCTCGAAAAAAGTATTTCCGAGAAAAACGCGTTCAAAGTTTTGAGACTCGGTCGGACCCAAACCGAGGCCACGTCACTTAAACGGATATAACTCAGGAAATAATAGTGATCTTGAAAAACCCTTTTAATGACATATTTCTGAAAAACTAAACTTTGAAAATATGAAAAAAAAATTTTTTCGATTTTTTCAAAATTCTACAGTAGAATACCCCCTTAAGAAATTCAGCTCGCAAAAGTTACTCAAACATTTAATAAAATTTATAGTTCTATGTCTATTGTCGCATAGTGCACACATTCGTTTAAAAGTGCAGTAATTAATTTTTTATGAAGTGATAACGGCAAAGGCAGCAGTAAGGTGTAATCGACGCCTTAACGGATATTTTAGATATTTAATACCGAGATAAAATTTCTTATAGAAAAAATAATATTTATAAATTAAATCTTATATCTTATCTTATAATTCTTATCTCATCTTATCTTATAATCTTATATAAATTCGCATTTCTTATACGCTAACACCTACATCATAGGTTCCTATTCGTGTATTTCTATAGCCTTACGTACGCCTATACGTTGCATTCTATACTACATGCCTTACATCTATACCATGCGCTATATTTCATCACATACTCTCAAATCCCTACATTGTATACCGAATACACCTAACATATATCTACTATATATCCTATTACCTATATATTTTTTTACACGCTACATTAACCCTACCGAGAATCGAACCCGGGTCCGCCGCGTGGAACGCGACGACCTTAACCACTACACCACCGTAACGCTACAATCAACCGTCTTTTTTCGCGTGTCGTCGCGCCACCTTAGTATTAATTATCTAATTAATTAGAAAATGACCCGCGGAAACAACAGTGCGTCCCATATTATATTATTAATGGGGGTATCCGATAGGGTAGTGGCTAAGGTGCGCGACTTCCACGCGGAGGTCCCGGGTTCAATTCCCGGTATAGACAATAGATAATATATATAATAGGTAAAGATAATACATAGGGCGTAAGGTAAACCTATATAATATAGGTGAATATATAAATTAGACAGTTGTATTTATAAGAAGTAAAAGGTATGTAGGTATATAATAAGTTAATGACGGTATAGGTATCTCACGGTATGATAGATAATAGATATCTATCTATGATATACAATAATATAATATAGTATGATAGGTAATAGGTTATCTATCATATTATTAGTTTATCTTATAAAGTATTGTAATAAATCTTGAGTACGTTTATATCATAATAAATACATGTAGGTATTAATGAATACAAATAATACCAGAATAAATATAATTAATGTCATTGAAGAATATAAATTATGTACTCAATGATTCCCTCATACTTGTACAATTTAATGTATAGACTAGCTGTATATAATAGAGTTAATTATATAATAAGTCAATATATTACATTTGTGAGGTCTTATCGAAATATATCAAATTTTTTGAACCGGATTTTAAATTTTAGCGTTCCGGCAAAAAAATATTAGCACAACACCACTGCTACCAACTCATGCGATTATTCAACAAAAAAGACCGGTCATAATTATACAACTAGTGGGGCGCATGGCATCGTGCCATCCAAATAAGGCAAATTGCTGGAACTTCCCGTACCAAAAATTATTTTTTTATAACGATTAACATTTTTGAAAAAAATAACTCTGAAAAAATTAGATTTTTGAGAAACTATAAATTTTTGACAAAAATTTACTTTTTTTTTGAAAAAAAAAACTTTTTGAAAAAAATTTATTTTGAAATATTTTGGAAATTCTGAACTTTTTTTCAAAGCAATCGTACTGCTTTAACTGCATAGAGACAAAATATCGAAGCGCGTAAGTGCCGCGTCGCCGTCTAACGGATTAACAATGGTACGGAACCCATATAAATGTAAACAAAATTTATACTTATTGTTAAAATCTCTATAAAATATCCGATAATTTGATGTGCATATGTCTAACGATCATTTTTGACCGCCAAATGGCATTTTTTTTACTTTTTTTACTAGATCTCCGAAACCGCTAGACCTGCCTTCATGAAAATTTGATCAGTTCTTCATCTTGTTTTTTGGCAAAATGTTTTTTGAATTAGTCAAATCGGACGCTCCGTTCTCTTAAAAACTGAGTTACCGTTTTTGGCACTTTTTGCCCCATATCTTCGAAACGACTCGACCTGCCTTTGCCAAAAACTAATCAGCACGTCTCCTTATCAATACGAATCG